GGGTCAGTTTTTTTTTTTTTTTTTTCAGGTCGGACGGAAGTCATGACATTTCGGCACCCCAAAAATGGACGCACCTTGGTAGAGTTGGGAGTAGGTCGCCAGCCTTCCGTCTTGTTCCTCGCAGGCTTGTCGGGCTTCCATGTAATTAAAGCCATACCGCCCTCCTCTGGACTGGTATGGAAACACGACACCTAGAACATGGGAGATAAAGTTCTAGCGTGATAGAGAACATTGTTCACGCAACCACAAACAGACCATGACACAGACCTTCCATGACACCTGCTACCTGCCCTGGGGTGTGCCGTGGTCTGGTAATGGCGGCGTGTAATGAACTCGGGCAAGTGGGAAGCACGTGGCCTGTGGTGAATGATGAAGGTATGAGGTTAGGGTTAGGGTGACCTCTAGGGTTAGGTGACCTCTACATCCTGGGGTCATGTCCAAGCAGATTCATCCACTTGACCCTTGGCCTTGGATTTTGGCTGACCTTCAGCAATCATGTGTTTAGGTTATAGGTTCAGACCAAGCTCCCCCATGATATGGTCCTTTACGTAAAAATTTCTCGGCCAAAAAGGGGTCACGAGTGGAGAAAGTTTAAGAAGGTCTGCTTTAGACCAGTGGTTCTCAACCCGTGTAACCTCGGGACCCACGTTTGTCCTCGGTCATTAAGTCGCGACCCGAGTCGCACCGCGATGTTCCATGTTGCGGTACTCCGTTTTCCGGTGCAGGCGATCGAATTGCGGGTGGGAGGCGCTTTTGGGTTGCCATTACGGAAATTGGCAGTGGATCCTCAAGCCTGGGGTCCAGTGTGGTCCACTGTGGGGCCTGTAGAGGTGGTGGGAGCCAGAATGTGATGAGCTCTGAGCAATGCGCGTATGGATGGAGCTCCCTCTCGGCCATAGCCCCCACCTCAAGTCGACACTCGGCACCGGCCATCATATTTTTGAATGGCTGCCCGCTGCGAGAACTGACCGTGCTTCTCAAGGAGGACGCTGAGGATCTTCTCACCTAGAAAAGTGGAAGCCATGTGGCGACCCACCGGACATGGGAGTCGCGACCCACTCTTGGGTCATGACCCACCAGGTGAGAACCAAGGCTTTAGACCCCTTATCATCTCAGTTGTATTTTCTAGAATCCACGTGAGAGAACTTTGACTTGGACATCACAACCTTATTTGGACTATAGAACGTCCTTATCTGGTATAGTCCAGATCAATGTAATAACAACCTGGCGATGGAGCACACCCACTGCGCCATTGTTATATCTTTGGTGCACACCTGTTCACCTATCTACTCGATGACCAGAGGTCAGGACCACTTTGCAAGTTCATGTCAGAGCTGGATTGAGGAACAATCAACCCTTCAAAAAGAACTGTGGACTTCGGTTTGATGGACCTCAGAAGGTTTGCCCATCATTGGCCATACACCAGGAACTGATCATGGTGCAGATGTTCAGGGTGAACCTTGAGAAGTTTTGGGTCATCATTACCAAGCAAACCAACATACTCCAGGTTTGCCCGTCATTGGCCATACACCGGGAACTGATCATGGTGCAGATGTTTAGGGTGAACCTTGAGAAGTTTTGGGTCATCATTACCAAGCAAACCAACATACTCCAGGTTTGCCCGTCATTGGCCATACACCGGGAACTGATCATGGTGCAGATGTTTAAAGTGGACCTTGAGAAGTTTCAAGTCATCATTACCAAGCAAACCAACATACTCCAGGTTTGCCCGTCACTGGCCATACACCGAGAACTTATCATGGTGCAGATGTTTAACGTGAACCTTGAGAAGTTTTGGGTCATCACCATCAAGCAAACCAACATGCTCCAGGTATGCCCATCACTGGCCATACACCGGGAGCTTATCATGGTGCAGATGTTTAGGGTGAACCTTGAGAAGTTTCGGGTCATCACCATCAAGCAAACCAACATACTCCAGGTATGCCCATCATTGGCCATACACCGGGAACTGATCATGGTGCAGATGTTTAACGTGAACCTTGAGAAGTTTTGGGTCATCACCATCAAGCAAACCAACATGCTCCAGGTATGTCCATCATTGGCCATACACCGGGAACTGATCATGGTGCAGATGTTTAGGGCGAACCTTGAGAATTTTTGTGTCATCATTACCAACATACTCCAGGCCAAGCCCAGGTTTGTTTTCCATTATCCAACCCATGTCTAAATTCTCTGTGTCCCATACTCCGAGACTCTGTCCTACATCACCCCAATGAGAAACGTCTTCTAAAGATGATGGGAACTGGACCTTACTATAACACTAGAACACTCCAGGAACATACCCTGATATGACACACATGTATGTTTAGCATGTCTCTTGAATGAAGAACCGTTAGGGGACCTCTTTAAGTTGCGTTAAATTACCTTCTAGATGCAGAGACAACGTCAAGCTCTGGTCCTCCAGGCCATTTACCAGCTCGCACTTGTACCGCCCCTCGTCCTCCAGCGTCACGTTGGTGATGACCAGAGAGGCGTCAAGCCGGTGACTCCTCCTCATTCGGGCCCGCCCCTTCAGCTTGTCGTAGTTCTTGTGGTACTTGCCATTGGTGATGATGATGAGGTTCTCCATGGGGTCCAAGGGGTTGACCTTGCTCCATTTCACCTTGTAGCTCCTGGGCCGATGCCTCATGATACAAGGTAGGGTGACGTTGGCACCCCTGGTGCTCTGAATGACGTTGCGAATGGGATCCAGGAGGTAATGGGGTCCCGGAGTGTGATCTGCCACAGAGGGGGGAGGGGAGGGGGGGGGGAGTAACAAGGTTGACTACTATGAGGATTGAAGTGTGAAGTTCTGCATACCTAAGATCTCTGACCCTTAGATGCCTGCACACATCTTCACCAATCCGCCCCCTCGGAAGCCCCAAAACTCTCTGGTATGCAAATGTTGACTTTGGGAAGAGGAAGATGGTTGGCCACTCCCACCTCCTGCGACTTGCCATGTGACCATCGATGTGACGGGTGGTCTCAGGGACAAGTAGTGAGTTGCAGGAGGCAGGAGGGACGGACCAGCTGGTGACTTCTCTTCCTGAAGTCGAGATATTGATATTGGAGCGCCCACCGAAGAAGACATCCCAGTGGTCTCATCTATGTACAGCAGCTCCGCCTCCAAGGTGGGATTGTGTGTCCTGCAGGGGGGCGTAACTGTAGCCGGAGCAGCTCAGGCGTCTGCTATGGGGCCTGGGGGTGGAAGGGGCCCCATTAGGTTGTTGTGGCAAATTAAAACACAGAACATGGAAGAGGCCCCTCCCCCCATCACATTTTTACTATGGGGCCCCATGATCTGTAGTGACGGCCCCGGTGTCACGGAACCAAAAGGGGGAGGGGCTTCGGCAAGGAGGTTTCTAAATACAGCTGAGCAATCTATGTGCCCCAGAATGTTCTATCTGGTTCACGAAAATTAGAATCCGGACAAAGTTCTAATCCCAGAACTTTCCATTGTCCCGGAAAACTCATAAACCCCCAAACCTTGATTCCGGTCGGCGCCGCGATAGACCGCGGACTCCTCCGTGGAGGTCGGAGAGGACAGAAGGAGCAGGAGAAGGACCAGACCTTCCATCTCTGGGAAGAACATTCTGTGATCCGTCTGGAAGACACAAGAAAGAACCGTGACTCAGACAATCCAAACACTCTCCAACGGTCTCAGATTCTCCACGATGACATCATAGACGACCTTTATCTCCCCCATATACCCAGAGCCACTATCTGATCTCACCTTGAGAGACGCATCCACATTCATGACCTGTGTCTCCATGGCCATCAAGCAGTGTCGGTCCTCCTCAAGTCTCCATGGCCATCCCCTCCATAGCACTGACCCCCCCCCCGAGCTCTGGTCCCTGGAAGGTGACACCTCTTGCCCCCGGGACGGCGGGGTTCTGGTGCTCCGGGTGTCAACATGTGGACGGCGACACCTCCGGCGAGGTCCAACACCAGCCGGGCCGGAGAACAAGGCCGGCGTTCAGCGGCCTCCGGGACTCCCATTTTCTGAGGCTGTGATTTATTGCCGGCACCTGTGAGCTGAGCCCACCGACAAAGGTCGGCGACCTTCCAAAGTGCACCGCTCAGCGTCTTCCCCTCCCAGGGCAAGACATCGCTTTATTCTTTGTCTCAGTCCAGATGGAACTTTCTAAATACATTCCGGACGCAGCAGAAGGAAAGATGCTCCCGGGCCCGCAGATCGTGTGTAGAAAGCAGCCACAGCGTGAGTAGAGGAGCCCGTCCCCTGCCAGCATCGGGCTAGAGCGCAGCAATCAGCAAATACAAGGCCGCCTGCTGCTTGGACAGCTCTATCTCTCAGCAAGGGGGGAGTCCTCTGCAGAGAGACTACTGCTTCCACACAGAGAGGAAGGTTCCTTCTCTGTAGCGTGCTGGCAGGGGGCGGGCTTCTCTACTCAGGCTGTGAGGCTGTGGCTGCTTTTTTTTAAAAAGAAAACCAAGACTTTGAACACCAATAACACCCAGCGCACCAATGCATCAAAATGTGCATTATGGCCCCCGAGGGCAGATCAGTGTGCATGGGCCCCCTTCCATTACCCCCATGAAACAGTGATACCAGGCCTTCCATTAACCAAATGGGACCAGTACCCCCATTACCCCATCTGAGCAGTGTGCATGGGCCCTTCCATTTCCCCATTGGAGCAGTGTGCATGGGCCCTTCCATTTCCCCTTTGGAACAGTCTGAACCGGCCCTTCCATTACCCCCATGAAACAGTGTTACCAGGCCTTCCATTAACCAAATGGAACCAGTACTCCCATTACCCCAACTGAACAGTGTGAACCGGCCCCTTCCATTTCCCCATTGGAGCAGTGTGCATGGGCCCTTCCATTTCCCCATTGGAGCAGTGTGCATGGGCCCTTCCATTTCCCCATTGGAACAGTGTTACCAGGCCTTCCATTAACCAAATGGAACCAGTACTCCCATTACCCCAACTGAACAGTGTGAACCGGCCCCTTCCATTACCCACATGGAACAATGTGATACCAGGCCTTCTATTACCCCAATGGAACCAGTACCCCCATTACCCCAAATGAGCAGTGTGCATGGGCCCCTTCTATTACACCAATGGAACAGTCTGCACCGGACCCTTCCATTACTGCAATGGAATAGTTCAAACTAACCCTTTCCATTACCCCAACAGAACAGTGGGAACTTCCTCCTTCCATTACCAGAACAGTGTTGCCCGGCTCTTCCCGGACTTTCCCATTTCTTCTAGGAGAGTCAGAGTGGAGAATCATTCTGACATCCCTAAATAAGAGCCACCAGGAAGCCATCGATTGATTACGGCTCCCCCTGCCTGCTGCACGTGGTAAACGTGGACTAGACGTATTGAATATTTAATTTTTTAATGGAATAATTCGATAT